GGTCCCTCTTACAAAAAACAACCACTGTTGTCAGTTTCTTGTATGTTCATCCAACACCTGAGGACCTTATGTAAAAATAAACAAATTGTATTTTGTTTTTATTTATTTACTTGATGGTCTTGCTCTGTCACCCGGGCTGGAGTGCAATGGTGCAATCATAGCTCACTGCAGCCTTGAATTCCTAGGCCTCAAGCGATCCTCCTGCCTCAGCCTCTCAAGTAGCTGGGACCAAAGGTGTGAGCCACCATGCCCAGCTAATTTTTTAATTTTTTGTAGAGACTGGGTCTCACTAGGTTGCCCAGACTGGTCTCAAACTCCTGGCCTCAAGTGATCCACCTCAGCCTCCCAAAGGACTGGGATTATGGGCATAGACACCACACCCAGCTAAATTGTATTTTAAAATTAATTTTAATTGTTTTTGAAGAGGAAGTGTATTTATATGGTTTGAGAGAAGGAAAATGAAAGTATAAAAAGTACTCAGTGAAATATCTCCCTTCTATCTCTACCTAGTACCACCGTCTCCCACAGGCAAATAATACGATAAATTTCATGCATATTTTTCCAACCAAATACATATTGTTCTTCTCCTCAACCTTTTTTACACAAATAGAAGCATCCTATGCATGTTGTTCTGCAACCTGTGCTTCTCCTTTAACACTACACATTGCAGATACTTCTATATTGGCATAGACAGTTTCCTCATTTATTTTTCAAACTGCATAGCATTTCATCATATGGATGTTTCATAGCTCATTTAATCAATGTCCTAATGATAGATAACTAAGTTGCCTTTTGATCAAAGCAAGCATTTGTTAAATGGAAAGTAATAGATGCACATAGTGAATATTTCTATGTGTAAAGTGAATTGTCTTAGTTATTGGTGCAGTAATGCTTTGTAACAACCCCCTTCTCCCAACACAAGGTATAAGTGGCACATAACAATAAATATTTATGTTTCTTGCTGTCTGTAAGTCCATTGGGGTTCAACTGAGCTCATTTGGGCTTGGCCTAAAGCTATGGGTTGCTTTCAGATGTACACCACATATCTCATCATTCTCCTTGGACCGGGATCTATGCAGGACTATTGGTGGATGGCAAAAGCACAAGAGGCCAAGCTGCTAACATCAAGTCTGCTAATATTTCTTGGGTCAACTCTAGTGGAGTGGGAGGTACTCAAAGTCTCAAGTTAAAGAGTGTACATGTACAATTTTTTAATAGTGATGGTGTGAAGAACTAAAATGATAATCTAATGTCCCACATAATACATAATGAAACACAAATTGGCCTCTCACCCCCACATTGCCAATCTCCTCCCCTTCCAACAACCATTATTGCCAGTTTCTTGAGTATTCATCCAGAAATACTTTGTATATATGAGTATGTATATATCTACAATTTCAATAGATGTTGTCACTTTGCTCTCCAGTGTAGTTGCACTAGTTGACATTCTAGATAACTGAATGAGAGTGTCTATTTCTTCACATGCTTTCCTACATTGTATACTATCAAACATTTATTATGTGCCATTATGGTCTAGGTTGCAGTTACTTCTCAATTTATGTTTGCCCACTTGCATTGTTTAAATGTGTAGTATCTATTCATGTCATTTGCCTATTTTTCTTTTGGGCTGATTTTTTCCCCCCAATTGATTTGTAAAAGCCCTTTATATATTTATAAAATTTTCCCTTTGTTTAAGGAATTTCAGTTTTTCTCCCAATTTATAGTTTGCCTTTTGTGTATGGTGTTTTTTCTTTGCAGAAATTTGTACATAGTAAAAAGTATCAATCTTTTTCTTTTTGGTTTATGGATTTTGAGTTTTGCTTATAAAATTGTTCCCCACTTGTGGAACTTTTTTTTTCTCAAAGCTATTTATCCCAATTGATAACATTTTAAAAAGTTTGGCCTTACTAAATGGTTATCAGCTCTTCTCACCATTAATCATGAGAATATACCAAGTGCCCAAGATTTGGCAAACTATGTAAAGTTCTGTTCTTAATATTATTAGGAAGATGATATACTAACTCTACTCTAGTGGGCCATGGGAATCGATGTATTTCTTCAGCAGCAGTAATTCTTTCATGTAAGCTAGGGTATTTTTGCCAAAAAGGCCATCTGTAGGTAGGGGCACTAACCATAATTTGATCAGCCTTCGTCATGAAATAGATTTGGTCTAATTGCCCTAAACAGATATGACCTTGGCCTTGTTCTTAGGTGCTTATCATATGACAAGATTTCATGATTAGCAACTGGGATAATTACACTCACTGCTTTTTTCCTTTCCTGGGCCAGGCAGGATTGAAAGATTTTCTTGAAAAGCCTTCTCAAATGTTAATGTGCATACAAAGTTACCTAGGGATCTTGTTAAAGTGCAGATTCTGGAACAGTAGGTCTGGGGGTGGGGCCTGAGACTGCATTTCTAACAAGGTCACAAGTGCTCCTGGTCCATGGAAAACACTTCAAGAAACAAGGTGCTAGACCATGAGGTCTCACCCAGTCTTTTCTAAAAGTTCATTGGTTCCTTCCTCATTTTCTTGGCATCTTATTCCTTTTTGGATTCTTTATTCTTACTTTCCTGAACTCCTTTAAGATCACTTTTAAAACCGTAAAACAGACTGGTATGATTGGCCAAACAAGCAGCCCTCTTTGATGAATACCAAGAGCCCCTCTCCCATTCAGAAAAAAATCTACTGATCTACCATGGCACCTTGTTTTCAATTCTGGGGAGTCTTCTTAAAATTTCTGGTGAAGGGTGATATAACCCAGGAAAGTAAGGTTAGTCATACTAGTTAGGCATTAATCAGACTGGAGCACCAACCATCCTCAGCAGAGAGTACTGAGAAAAGGATAGGTACACAAGGGAGTAAGTTTTGGTAGGGTGGAAGGTGCAGAACTTGATACATAAAGGCACTGGGTATTAGAGTGAAGTTGGGTCAAATTGGTTGTATGTGCCACTGCACTCTAGTCTGGGTGACAGAGCGAGACCCTAGATACAGAAAGATGATGAAAGGAGAAACCAACAGGACAGGAAGAGGTTTGCTTTTTATTTTAAATGTATTGTCTACTTGATGATTTGCCTAGGGATCTTATTGGCTAGGATCCTAAATGAGCTCCCCTTACCCTGACTGCTGGCTCCTTAACACCCCAATATAAGTGAAGGGTCCCGTGGCTTGATCAAATGGCTTCATCCATGGACAGCCCTGCTGGTCAGCTAAAGCCCAGGGCCCGGGGGCTAGTGCCATGCTAAAGGGCAGACTGGAGGTGCCAGGGATCCAACCAGAAAGGAAAGACTTGACCAGGTTGTATCCTTCCACCAAGGGGCCACCCTGTGTTGCTGCCTGCCATACCTGCACCTAACTGGTTGGAAGCACCTGGCAGTTGGCATTGAGGACCACTAACAGTAAGGTAGGTGCGGAGGGGGTTGGCCGGAAGTGGTAGTGAAAGTTGCACAGGGCCAGCCGGCAAGCATAGGGAAGTTTGTATTTGCATGAGCTCCGTAGGCAAGGAGAAAGGGAAAATTCGCTGGCTATATCCCTTCAAAAGAATGGGCTTTCATCTGAAAACGAACTGTTAAAAAAAAAAAAAAAGAAAGAAAAGAAAAGAAAAGAAAACAGAAGCAGGACATCTTCTGTTTCAAAAATACAGGCCATTTTCCCCCTCCCATGTATATAAACAACGAAAACCAGGAAGGCCGAAGGTCCTTTCCTTTCACACCCGACCTCTCTAGATCCCCAACTTAACCCCGATTGAAGAAGAAATTTTCCAGGATGGGGGTGGGATTTTGCTGGATTTGTCGAAAGAGATGGTCCACAGGGGAGGAGTGCATAAACTTGGCAAGAGAGGCGAGAGAGGGAGAATAACCTTAATCATGCACAGGCTCTGGCCTTAACAGTTGAGTGGATGGTGGACCGAGGCCAAGCGGCCAAAGAAGTGGAGTAGAAAGGCGCGAGTCAGCGCTGCGTGCCACGTACCAAACGCTGAATTCTCCCACCTGGGCCCTGTATCCGTCTCTCGCTCGCTCCCTGTGGCTAATGCAGAGCGATAGAGCAGCCTCGGGAGAACAGCTAGAGAAAGCTCGGAGAAAGACAAATTAATAGGAGCTCAGCGCAGCAGCAAATGCTGGAGAACAGCGCTCAGCTGACCCGTTAAATGAGCAGTCCTGTAAAGTGTGTTAATCAGTGCGGCGCCCGAGAGCCCAGGGAAACACTCCGAGAAGATACCTGGCGTGGCAATGGAACTCTTCAATGCTGCGATCTAGGAACACTGCTAGTCCTGGGTCGTAGTCCCTCTCCCCCGTCTCGCTTAAAGAGAGGGGTTCCTGGGTTGCATGACGTTGGAGAGCAGGTGGTCAGATGCATGGTTGGTGAGCCCCTGGAGCATGCAGAATGATAGAGGCCAGGGTTCTAGCTGCAAGCCCATCCCTGCGTCCCAGTACATTAACTGCCTGCCCCATGATTGGCGGAACTGGAGAACCCTCAGACTTAAGAATTTTATAGGTGGCAGGGGTGGAAAAGAAGAGTTCTCTCCGGTCCTGGAAAGCTCGAATTATAAGAAAAACTAGGTGGTTTGCGACTTTAAAAGCAAGTTCCAGTCTCCAGGGAACCAAGCAGGTGAACTCTTGACTGAACTAGATACCTGTTCTGCGGCTAGAACTGCAGACCGGGAGAGCTAAAAACTTTTAGTGGCTTTCCACACCTGCACTCATTTGAGCGCTCACCCCAATCCTGTTCGCCGGCCTACTCTAGTAAGGACGCTAGACGGCGCTGCCGGGACACGCTTTCCTTCTCCCGAGAAAGGTAAGAGAGAGCGCTTTTTTTTTTTTTTTTTTTTTTTTTTTAACCAGGGGATGGGGGACTTGGGGTTGGCAGCCTTTCTCAATCTGCCTCCCCTCCCCGCGCTCCCAAATCTAAAGGGGTGTGGAAGAGGAGGAGGAGCAGAAGCAGCTCTTTTCGTGACGCGCCAGAGCGCTTCTCTCTAATTCCCACCTCCTCCCCTGTGCAATCAGTCAGCCAGGAGGCACCAAACTGTTAGCGACAAAAACGCAGCTCTCGGTGACTCCCACTACCCTCCTACCCGCACTCCAGGCATATTTTGGAGGCGGCAGGAGCGGTGGCAGGATGTGAGGCGAGCCTGGAGCTCATTTCCAGGCGCCCCTCCCTCTTCGGAACTAAGGGAGACTTACAGGCTTTTGCTCACTGACTGTAGGGTTCCCGGGAAAGACTGGGGAAGTGAACAGGAGGGAGGGAGGTGGACAGGCAGAGTCTGCACCTGCCTCCTGCGCCTCCCTTAGGGCGACAGGGCAGCTGGTGTTTCGCTCCTTCTGGAGTGTGCCTACCTCGCAAGTGGCTCGAGGGCCACAGGCTGAGGCGCCCGCGTCCCGGCGTGCACCGCTTGGCCGAGGCAAGGTGTTGCTGGAGCAAGGCTGCTCCGAAGCGAAGTCGCGCAAAAGGAAGAGTCTGGGAGGCAGGCGACTTAGGAGAGTCTAGTCACTAAGAGACAGAGAGAGGCGACATCTGCCATTCTAATTGCGGAGCTGAGTGATTTAGAAACCCTCCTTAACTCTCCCTTTCCAGCTTTCCCCAAAGTCCACAGAAGCTCTGCTGAACTCTAGAAATCTTCCCTGGCCGGGGGGAAGTTTCCTAGCATCCTCTTTGGCTAAGACAGGTAGTGGAGAAAACAGTCGGGGCTGTACTGGACGCTGTTTGGGGGAGACGCGATCTTCCTCTCGCCCCCTCCAGCCACTCCGACTGCCCGGGAAGTCCCAGCCCGCGCTCTCCGGAACCTGGCTCGCCATCTCGCCCTGGACATGGAACTACGCATCTGAGACCTGCTGGACGTTTTGCTGGCTGTTTTGCAAGACTCAGGTAATGCCCGCTCGCAGAGCTGGAGAGTTGACTGGCAAGGGCCAGGGGAGAACGCGCTGCGCTCTCAGGGCAGGCCGCAGCCAATGGAGGCTTTATCTCTCCTGCAGCTCTGGTCTCCGCGCCTGGAAATTTGCCAGTTGGCTTTCTCTTCCTTTAGCCTTCCCAGAAAGTTTAGGGAATAGAGCTCCGAAGGCCAGGGGTTCTTCGGCCTGGGAGGAGCGTGCGCCGTCCCTCAGGTGCCCGCGAGCCAGTGCGTTGCGTTTCCGCGGCGGGATCTTCATGCTCTCTGCGGCTGGCGCGCGGGCTCTGCAGCCTGAAAGGCAATTTCCAACTGGGCGCTTCTGACTGCCCACATTTCTGCCCGCAGCTGGTAGAGCAACCGGAGCTGGGAAGAGGTTCAAGGCGGCTCCTGGGTGGAATAGTGAGGGGTTGCCCAGCAATACGCTGCCGCTCCTGGGGATTCCCACCAAGCACTAGACAGGGGAGATCGCTGGGTATCTGGGGCCATCTCCGTGCTCCGGCACTGAGAGCCTGAAGGTACTTCCCCTGCGGTTCCCGAGACGCCCCCTTTCCTCTTCCCGCAAGAATCCCCGATACCCCTAGAGTGGGTTTCCCAGGTCCCCACTGCTGCTCAGGCGTGAGCATCTGCCCGCGCCAAGTTGCGCTTCAGACTCCTTGTGAAGGAACCCTAGAGTGGGAGAGTAGGCATAGCCACTCGCGAGTGGCTCGCCTTGCCTCTCTGGGCTCGGGATTGGAGCAAACAGCTTGATCTGTCACTATCAGACGTTTAAGAAAAATGCTTTGGTAAGGAGACCCTGGCAAGGGAAACGTGTATTATAACAAATGTCTGCTTCAGGGGTTTCTCCTGGTCTCTGCAGCCATCCCCTTGCCATCTGTGCCACCCAAGGACTTAGAGACATTAGTAAACAAGTGTTCAAGATTTTCCCCTTGCCACCCACAAAAGTTGTGACTGCACAGAAGTGCTGGAAAAGTACTTCTCAGTTGAAAGTTACTCTAGAGCCTACCACGGGTGTTTTTTAAGGGGGAGTCTATTTAGGAGTATCTTGTCCCCGAATGAGGAAGTGGGACCTGCCCACCACCACTACATTCAATGGAATGTGTAGATTTCCAAGAAGGAATCCTTCTTTCTTTTCCTGGCCAGGGGAACCAAGCTGTAGATTATTAAACATGAGGCACAGCTGGGAACAGACCCAAGGAAGTAAGGAGGGAGGGAAGGACACGTTTCTGAGCCTGCAAGTTCAGCGGGCGTCCTACAGTTCAGGAAGACTACCTCAGTTACAGAGTCCCTGGAAAGGAAGGAGTTAAGTTTTCCGGGCAAGTGTCTGGGACTGGGGTCCATTTTCCCACTGACATCCTCATCTCCCACCCCACCGCGGCTGACCCAAGGTTTTGGCTCCATCTCTGAGCCGCCCCATACGGTGTGAACCCTCTAATTTGCGGGCCGCCCTGGGCTAGACAGCTCACAATTACCTGCCGTGGAAGCAGATGATTTGGGGGCACTAGTATCCATGCACTGTTGTACCACTGGGCTCTTTGCCAGCAGAGTCTCAGATACTTAGGCTTTCCCCCCTTCTTGCCGCACAGAACGCGTTCTTCTCCATGCTCCCGGCTTCCCCATAGATAGCAATTGGGCAACTACCCTGGGACCTAGGGAGGGTGAAATTCCTAAGTATTCCTGAGCCTAGGTTTCAGCAGAAGTGCCCATCTTCGTCACTTGCATCCTTTCCACTCCTCTCCTCCGCGGAGCAACCCCTGCTCTATGGCCAGTACAGTCGCACGGCGCGGCTGCTGGACCCGAGGCGGCGACTCCAGTTTTGAGCCACCTACTTACAGTTAGCTCTCCAATTTGAGGGCTGCCCTGGGGTAGACAGCCTGCAACTACTGCGGTGGAAGCTGCTGATTTAAATAGCGTTTAAATGTGGATAAAGGGCTGTGGCATCAAAGGCTCCTGACTTGCCCACTCTAACCCCAGCTGATCTGAAGGAGAGACAAGTTGCCACCAAAGCTGCCTTCGTGACAGACAGCTGCGGCTGCTTCTGCTTCTGCCCTATAGGTCAAGGCCAGACCTTTAGAGCAGTAGGGTTGAGGATTTCAATCGGGCTTTGTGAAATAGCCTCTGCTGCTCTCTCTGATATCTGGCCAATCTTAACTCAGGTTGAGCAATCGGCCATTTTTAGTTTCTGCGGGGCTTCTACCACTTTGACCTCTCTGTGCAGAGGCTAAAGGCGCTGGTCAGGGGTGGTGGATATCAGGGTGCTCCTGGACTGTGGCATTTACAGGTAAAATCAAGTCTGAATCTTGATTTACCCATTCATATCCTGAGAAATAGTTCCTCAATGGTGTAGAACATTCTTGTTTGCCAATAACTGGCAATAGAGTCCATACACGCATATGCTGCTTACTAGGGTGAACTGATGGTGAGATAACCTGGGGAACAACCCCTTATAGCCATCTGCAACATGTCTCCACAGCTGCAAAGCCCATTGAAATTTTATTTAGCTTTAAAAAGACATGCTGTAAAGAATCTCACCATATAAAAAAGATGAATTATGAAGTGACTATTCCAGCATTGTTTAAAACAATAAACTTCACTTTACACTGGGCTTCCATAGTTTATTGAAGTGTCTCAGTGCAAACATTTGCTGTTTGGGAAGAAGGGGAAAGATTGGGAAGGTGAAATGAGTTAAAATATGGTTGAAATGATCGTATACTTTGGTAAAACAGAATTTTGTGTTCACATCTGTGCCTTAAATAAAATCATCACTGTGTGCAATGTGACAGCCTGAGTAGATTCTGTGACAGGTTGTAGCACTATGGTGAAACCAAAGGGGAACATACATTTATCCTTTGTATTTGGAAATTTCCTGTAACTGCAGCAGTAATGATTACAGCTGGGACTGTTGGAAGACAAATGTACACACTGCCTTCTTCATTTGAGAAGTAACATAACCTCCTTTGTGAAAATGCACTGTAATCAAGTGGAAGAGATAAAAAGTCCCAAGTTTGAGGTCTTCACTAATAATATATAAAAGAAAAATCATTGCCAAACCTCGAGGTGTGGACTAACAGGAATTTTTCAGGGATGTTTTCTAGCTGTAGTCAGAAACTCACACCTTTTAATCTCTGAGAACTGTCCCTTGATCCTAGGTCAGAAAGCTGTGATTGGAGCCAACTTGGTAGAGGAAGATAAATGTGGAATATGCAATATGTGCTTTAATTATCCTGAGCTAGGACTTGAAAATAAGCCTCTCGGCCGGGCGCGGTGGCTCAAGCCTGTAATCCCAGCACTTTGGGAGGCCGAGACGGGCGGATCACGAGGTCAGGAGATCGAGACCATCCTGGCTAACACAATGAAACCCCGTCTCTACTAAAAATACAAAAACATTAGCCGGGCGTGGTGGCGGCGCCTGTAGTCCCAGCTACTTGGGAGGCTGAGGCAGGAGAATGGCGGGAACCCGGGAGGCGGAGCTTGCAGTGAGCCGAGATCCCGCCACTGCACTCCAGCCTGGGCGACAGAGCGAGACTCTGCCTCCAAAAAAAAAAAAAAAAAAAAAAAAAAGAAAATAAGCCTCTCATTATCTTTAGACTTGGAGCTGCAAGTGCCAAGGAATTTGCCAAAATAAAATGTGTCCGTCCAGGCCTCGCATGGTGGCTCACATCTGTAACAATCCCAGCACTTTGGGAGACTGAGGCAGGAAGATCACTTGAGCCCAGGAGTTTGAGATCAGCCTTGGCAACATAGTGACACCCCACCTCTATTTTAAAAATGTGTCTAATGTAAGGCCTGATGCAAAGACGTAACACATGGATCCTTCTGGCCAAAGCTACCGCTATTTGGGTTGGTTCACTTTGAACTAGCTCCTAATGAGATCAGAGGCACTGGAGTGAGTCCACTGTGGGGCAGTTTCTTTTGGGCTTCCCCAGCCACAGACATGGTTCCAAATCTTTTGTCAAATGATCTAAATACATATTCTCTGTGCCAAGGAGCCTAGATTTAGTAGCCTTCTTGCTTTATTTTTCCCATTAATTTTACAGCTATACCTTGGCTTCTCTCTTGAGTTTCAAAATGTTTTTTAGCTAGTTTGCTTTATTCCTCTATTTGGGTGTTGTGTTGGCATAAAAATGTATTAAAACACTGGCTTAACATTTTCCCCCAAGCAAACCTTTGTTTTTTGTCTCTTGCTTTTAATGAGGTCCTCATTCTCTAACCCTAGCACTTCTGATCTCATTCATCTGTGACTGCTCTTGCGTGCCTCATCCATCACTACCTCATGCATCCTGTCTTTTATTAAATGCCCTGAATTCTGTCTCTAGAATAGGTTTTGTCCTTTGCATTTGTACTGCCACCACTTGCAGTTAGGTCTTCTAGATTCTTGATCTGGCCTGCTACAAAAGTCTTTTCTTGCTGTCTTTGATCTGCTCTCTAATTCAGTATATCCTACATGTTAGGATTAATCTTCCTGTAGCTCATGCAGTTCTTTATTCAAAAGTGTTACTTAGTGAGTGTTTGTTAAGTCATACAGATTGTTATTGAATCTAAAATAGTTTCTAACAATTTGAGTTGCCTGATGCAATAAATAAGTTGAATTGTAACCTTAGGAAGTGATATGGTTTGGCTGTGTCCCCACCCAAATCTTACCTTGAATTGTAATAGTCCCCACATATCAAGGACAGGGCCAGGTGGAGATAATTGAATCATGGGGCTGATTTCCCCCCTACTGTTCTTGTGGTAGTGAATAAATCTCACAAGATGTGATGGTTTTATAAATGGGAATTCTCCTGCACAAGCTCTCTTGCCTGCTGCCATGTAAGACATGCTTTTGCTTCTCCTTTGCCTTCTACCATGATTGTGAGGCCTCCCCACCCATGTGGAACTGTGAGTCCATTAAAACTCTCCCTTTTATAAATTACCCAGTCTTGGGTATGTCTTTATAAGCAGTGCGAGAACAAACTAATACAGGAAGTTCTCTAACATTGCA